CTACCATGCGACATGCTGTTAACGCTAATATTGGACCGAGTTTATCGTTAATAGCAGATTACATCTTTTATGTTAAGTAGCGGATATTCAACAAACGTACAATTAGCAGACCTGCAGCCGTATTAGCTTCTCTCTGTTAAACTTAACGGAGCTTTTGTCCGAAATTTCATTACAATATTTCAAAGTAAAGAAGTGACAAAAACTTTAAGTTTGTTTAAATAAAACTAACACTAAAATAAAACATTTGTGTTTAAAAAGTTATATTTTCAAAGAATTTTTTTAATAATGTAGTTAAAAAGAAATTTTTGACAAACGCTCTGTTAAGCTCAATGGAGAGATAAGAATACAGCACCAATCTAGTATAAGATTTTTATAGGGATAGATTATAAGATTTATTAAAATTAAAACTATAGCTGTTTTTCAGATTAAAGTTTGAGTGTGTTGGCAAATCAAAGACAGGATATTGTTAATGGAGCAATAGCTTCTGCATTAAAAACATTTTTTTAGTTGTTGGTTAGTATTAGATCTAGGAAGTTGTTATGTCGAGTATTATCAGATATAAGCTGGTCTAAAGCATTTGCCAAACATGTTTCTACCAATAAGTCATGGAGTCAAGTAGGTTAAAGTCACCTGAAATGATACATGTAGCGTTGCATGTAAAAGTAATTTTATAAATTAATAAAAGTTTATATGCAGCAATTAGCAGCTATTACCTAAATAAAAAGTTTTTAAATTTTTTGCATTGTTAAAATAATATCATCACGCATGAATAAATCTGTGGCGCGAAATTTTGGTGCTAAAGTTATAAAATTAATTTTTTAAAATAGAAAAGTATGTTAACAAAAAATCCAATGCAGACTTGTTTAAAAAACAATGCATAGAAACATTTAGTCTTGACTTTATTTAAAGAATCCATTTTTGTGTAATATAAGCATGCTCAAATTACATGGTGTTTCATTGAAATTACCTAGTTTAAAGTCCTAAAATAGCAGTTGTTTTAATTAGGGATGTACCGAAGCTAAAATTTTGCCGAAGCCGAAGCTTCGGCCGAAGCCACTTTGCCGAAGCCGAAGCTTCGGCCGAAGCCACTTTGCCGAAGCCGAAGCTTCGGCACTATATACGCTAAAAATTTAATCAGCATTCAGATCAGCAGGGGTGTAAAACAAAAAAGGTACCAAAACTAAGGTACTTGACTAATAATATAGAAAAATTGTATAAAAATGAGGACGCCAGTCAGGGTTGCTGTCCCAGGCAGGGCAAAAGCTCTCAGCGCCCCTGTTAGAAAGTTTCTCATTATGTCGTTTCTGATACTTGACCGCACCGAGCGTTTTTTTTTTAAGCTTAAACTTTTTTGAAACATTCTCCTAAAATTTTTCTACTTCTAGTTCTTCTTTTTCTGTGTGCAAACCATATTAATGTTATATAGCATCTTTTAATGTGCTGTATATTTAATTTTTATTTTTAATGCACCTTTTGTTAATAGAAGTGGATAAAAATCTCTTAACATTACTAGAGCAAATTTATCTTTTGCACTTGATCATTCTTTCTTTAAATAAACACTCTTAGCTGATCTAGTTGTATCTACAACATAAAAAGTTTTACAAACACACTTTATCTTTTTATTGCTATTTATTTCAGTATCTTTTTTCTACTTCTCTGTATTCATTAAACAAACAGTTTCTAAACTAAAAAAAAACCCAAGTTAAAACCATTTTGTATTCTACTACTACTGTTGTGAACCTAGTGCTAAAAAAAAGTACAAATGATAGATTTCTCTCGTAAAAATACGTAAGAATACTTTACGTTTTTTATGTGTCACTCCATTGGCTAGTTTGTATCTATTTAAGTGACACCTAATAAATTTCTGTAAATTTACGATGAAAATTTGTAAATTTTTATTAATATGGTTAAATAAAATTTTAAAAATTAAACATACACACAATTTAAAATAGTAGCCAAGTATCTTTAATCTTCTTTAAAGAGAGATTACTAAGGTTTATAGGTTAAATGTTGAAACCAAATTTTGTTCTATTTGCGGTAATCCCACACAATAATTAATATGAATTCGTTACATAATATAAATTAAGGTTTTAAAAACTTTTAATTTGCTTTAAATTATAAGATTTTTATTCTGCATAGAAATGCTGATTCAGTTCATCTAAAGTCACACTTGGAAGCTTTCAAAGTGTATGAGGACCTTCCCTAATTTTATTATTATTTTAAAAAATATTTTTACTTATTTATTATTATCCCCTCCATAACAAAACACTTGGGAGTAAATAATACTAAGTATATGGTATAGATTCCAACTTTAACTCGGTAGTTCTGAATTTATAACTTAATTAGATACTGGCAATTAGCGTATTTTTATAACTTGTCCAACAGTAGCTTAGAACATTTATTACTTAAATTTTTTTGCCGAAGCCAAAGATTCGACCTGGCTTCGGCATGCCGAAGCCGAAGCTTCGGTACATCCCTAGTTTTAATTGCTTTTTGAATAAAAACAAAACATAGTTAAAAATTTGATATTTTAATAATACTAAATAGTTTTCTGTAATTTAAATTCAAAAAATTTGAATTTTTTATTGTTTGAGTTAATAAATTGAAAAAATAATCAACTATTTTTTTTTTTTTGTGTGTGGAAAACATAGTATTGTTTCAACAAAAAGTGGTTCAAAATTGGATATTTTAATGATAAGTTATGATTATTATTTTATGATTATTGATAATAAATCATATTCCAAAAATTAGTTCTAATTGTCAGATTGGTATTTTTTTACTTAATGCTTATTTAAAGTGCTCATATTACCAAGTTGTCTTGGCAGGGTTGCATGGTTTTAACCAAATGGTTTAAACCATTGGTTTAAACCATGGTTTAAACCAAATAAAAAAATATTGGTTTAAACCAAACTCATGTTTTTTTAAAAAGATTTGAACTTACAACAGGAAACTAAGACAAGGTTATGTTCACAAATATAACTAATCTTTAATATGATTTTTTTTTTTTTAACTTTATCAATATGCTTCATCCAGGATACACTCTACCTAATAGAACTCAAATTGGAGGAGAAATATTAGATAGGGTTTACACAGAAGAAATTGAAAAATGTAATGTATTGAATGGGAAAATTGCAGCCATGTCTTTAGATGGCTGGAGTAATGTACATAATGAACCTATAGTTTGTATCTCTGTAATTACAGATAAAATTAACATTTTTGTAGAAACAATCAACACTTCTGGTCATACACGTACTGGTGAATATCTTACACAATTAACAAGAGAAGCAATAGATTTTGTGAGACGTAAATTTAGATGCACAGTAAAAAGCTTTGTGACTGACAATGCAGCTAATATGAAATTAATGAAACAAGTATTGTCATCTGAAAGAGATATTATCATATCTTATGGGTGTGCTGCTCAAATGCTGAATCTTTTAGCAAATGATCTGAACATTGAAAATGTGAACAAGCATGTTACACAAATAATAAAAAATATTAGAAATAATCATCAAGCTGGAGCAATTTATAAATTAAGCGGAGGAACAAAACTACCACTTCCTACTGAAACTTGCTGGAATTCTGTATGTGATTTTTTTGAAAAATGTCAATAACTGGAGCATTATTTTCACAATGTTTGAAAAAAATTAAGACTTAAATCCCATGATTAGTTAAAAAGTTAGTGATATACAGATAAAGTAAAACACAATATTGAAACCAATTGCAGTAGCTCTAGATAAGTTGCAAAGAGATCAAACAAAAATAAGTGACACTTGAAGTTTTTAAAGGTTTGATGAACAGTTTATCATTTTCATCAAACGAAAAAAAAAAAATTGAATCTAGATACCTTAAGACTGTCAGTGATGGTCATTTCCTGGTAACATACTAGATCCTAGATTTTAGATCTAATCTTTCTGATTAGATCTGATTAGAAAATAACGCTGCCATGAATTTTGCAGATAAAGAGTTTAAGAGTTTGTTACCAATATTATTCAAATTAAAAGCCAAATCTACTATAACATAATGGATATTGAAGGTTTATTAAATGCATCAGCTTCTAGTTCTGGAATTGAAAGACTTTTTTCAACTTTTGGTCTTGTTCATTCTAAGTTAAGAAACCAGTTGGGCTTAGAAAAAGCAGCAAAGCTTGTACTTATATATAGAACATTAAACAATGATATATTGAATAAATTTGATGAAATATAACAATAATATTGATAAAGAATATTGTTTACTCAAATAAAATACGTTATGCTTTTTTTAATTTAAAAGGATAACTAAATACCGCATTTTTTTAGTAAAAACATAATTAAACCAAAAAACCATGTTTTTCTTGGTTTTTTTAAAAAAACTTATGGTTTTTGGTTTTTAAAAAAAAAAAACGATTTTTTTGCAACCCAGTGTCTTGGTAATATGAGCAGTTTTGCTACTTTTTTAAAAACTCTGTGTTTTTAAGAAAAAATTTCGAATGCCCAAATATCTAAGATGGATCATGAGTAGGGATCCCTAAAAATTGTTTATTGGGAAAAATTTGGGATCTAGCATAATTTTTGAAAATATTCCAATTTTCGCTTAATATTACCTTAATCTACCCTATATATAATTTTAAAAGAACATTTACATTATCTTTGTATTTGTTTGTTATTTGTGTTTCTTAGCAAAAATATATAGATTAAAAATATAGTTAAACACTTGAGTAAATAAGTACTCATATGTGTTAAAAAGTTAGTATCATTTAGTATCATTTTTTTTTTTTTGCCGACCTGAAACCAACCACTAAAAGATTGAGGTCAGCTGACCTCATTTTCACTAATTTCAAGGGTTGATATATATATATATATATATATATATATATATATATATATATATATATATATATATATATATATATATATATATATATATATATATATATATATATATATATATCAAATAAATGTATATCTATAAACACACAAATATTTTTTACTTTTGAAAATTTATCCTTCAACACTAGCAGTTAGTTAATTAAAAAAGGACTTTCTTCATGGTTATCACTCTACAAGTATATCACAAATGTGCAAGACTTTATCCAGGAATGTGTGTTTGCAAATGTTAAGATGTAAGTGCTACAGTTTGTAGGAAAAAACTCAAAATGAATATATTCAACAAGCATTAATATATGAATCATAATATTGCATCAAGCATTAGATTAGTTCTTACTATAAAATTTTTTTTTTAGTTGAGAACAAGACCGAAGAAAAATTAGTTTTAAAAAAGAGTTATTAGAAAAGATCTAGATGCAACTTCAGTACTAGAACAACATAAATTAGCATTATGTTGTAGTGCAAGTTTTGTTGTTTTTGGAGTTTTGAAGTTTGAAGTTTGTACAACACATTTGGATATAATTTAGATAAGAAGTTTGAATTTTAACTTTCATTAAAGTTTAATTTGGATTTGTTTATTCTGGTTAACTAAAATTCAGAAAAAATATATTTACAGCAGTACTGTGATTAGTTTTGTTTACTTAAATGTTTAATTTATTTAAATGTAATGTTTGCATAAACCTAAATAAAAAATTGTTTACTGTTTTTAAAGCGATAATATATGTAAGGTATGCTTAAAAATGGGTATACCAGTATACACACTTATAAGAAAAAATAAAAATTTCACTCCATTAAACAGCATGTCTTTGTTGCCTAGTGGCTAATAAAGTGTCAAAACCGAGACCAATAGGTCTTTTATGTATGAGCATATATAGGCCTACATAGCGTGTAGCTTATATTGACACATGTCCAATAACTTTACAATTCAGTCTATGTGTATTTAATTACTAGTCAGTCTATATGTATTTCATTTCTCAACATCGGCTCCCCTATTACAAAACTATAAAAAATTTTAAATGACCTATTTGCAATGCGTAATTGTATAATGTATTCCATATATCTAGTTATGTTGATATGTTCATATATACTGTTTGTTATATTTTAGTTAATAGAAAATAAAGCATAAATTATGCCTTTAGAAGTTGAAGAATCTTGTAAGTTTAGTATTTATTATTAATTTTGAATTTATCTCTGTTAAATGCAACTATTACTTTTGTTTTATATAATTTTTCACATTCTAAAATATTAATATTTATTTTGTTTACCTAAAGGTGCAACAAATTATTTTGAAGATTATTCTTGTGGTATGCAAGATGTTTTTTTTATTATTACTATTATTTTTAAAAGATGTATTATTTTGATAATAAATTTATTAATAATCTCTTTATAATAATACTGGACTTAATAGTAGTAGTAGTAGTTTAGTAGTAGTAGTAGTAGTAGTAGTAGTAGTGCGCTTTCGAGCCTGTTTGACACGATACTCTTGGCAATCATTGCATCCGAGGTAGTGACGAGAAAGAGTCTTACCTTTGCTTTATAAGAAAATGTCAGCAAACGTGAAACTCATATCGTACGTACCTAAACTTCATGTTATGTAATGTTAAAACATGCTTAAACATATATCAAGTTCAACAGTTTGATTTTCACTTAAGAACTGCGTTTCGTCAACCTTTGCCTAATTTCTAATCTTCTGTGTTTATATCCGTTAAAAACAATTTTTATATAATTTGAAATTTTCAAGACTCAACGAGACAGCGTAGTAGAGTGGTTAGCGCGCTGGGCTTCTATCCAAGTTAGCCGTGGTTCAAGTCCTACCATCGGCGACATTTTTTCAAATTTTTTTTGCGCATGTGTCATTATTGAGATACTCATGTTATTTTAGTTAAACTTTTCAAGTTTATTTACAACTAAATTGAGCAAGGAAAATTAGTAAAAAATATGTTTATATATAGAATATAAAATCCATATAACTTTTGATTTGCATTTTAAACAACAAAACCGCGTGGCAAGCTGATGAACTTGCCACGCAGCGACCTTAACTTTTTTTAAAAATGGTAAGGGGGCTTAAAAAGTTATTTTTATTTAGAACATAATTATTAAGTATTAAAATTTAATTATTTTTATAATTAAATAATATTTTATTTTTTTTATTTTTATATTAATTAAATAATAATTTTATAATAAAAAAAAATTTTATAATTAAAAAAAATATTAAAATAAAAATTAAAAAGTATATTTTTATTTATATGTAAACTAAATTATTTTATAAAATTTATTGTTTCTAAAAATATTTAAAAGTTAAACTATTTAATATTAGCATAATAAAAAACTTTAGAGATTTACAGCTATTTATCAACGCCCCTGTTAAACATTCTTAACCAAGAGCGCATCAATTACTGTGATGATTTAAATAACATGAGATGCACGAGGCACTGTAGATGTGCATGCGATAAGTATTTAAATTGCTTTTTAAACATTCATGAATCTCTAAATATCTTTGAATATCTCTTTAATCTTTATTGTAAAACTATATTTATTGAATATACTTTTATTTATGAATTCTATTTATAATTGCATTTTGTAATTTTCAATCTGTTTTTATAGCTACTAAAGTTTGACTTTTTAATATTTTAGTTAATGAAACATGTTATGTATTGTGGGTGATGTGTAGAAATTGTTTCTCAACAAGCTGTTAATTTTATGGAAGCTGAAGATGAGCACTTTTTAGATATGTAAGTTGCTTTTTATTTTTTATTGCTTTTATTTGTTAGATACTCAAATATGTTTTACATTAATCTAATTATTTAGTACAGTGTTATTGTCTGGTCAAATCTTTCAAATTTACTTTTTTAGTTTCTAATTATTTAAATATTAAATAACAATATTTATGTGATTGTTGTTTTAATTATAGTCTCATAGCTTATCATATATTGTAAGTTTTAAATTTGAATATATCTTTATCTTAAGTTTTGAAGTTAATATTTATTTTAATGTAATGAAAATGTAATTAAATGTGTTTGATTTTCTAAGTTTTTGTTGAATAGCAGTTTGTATTATTCTGTCCAACAACATGGGTTTCAAAGTGGAGGGGGGTACAATAGTCAAATTCTAAATAAAGTCTTCTATATCTAGAATAGGCAATAAGATTTTCCCTCTATTAAAGGGAAGGAATTACCCTTATCAAAAGTGCAGTTTAAGAAGTTATAGTGGGTAGTGGAAAATACATAACTACATCTACAAATAAAAGAGGTATGTAAATGTATTTTGTTTTATATGTATATTTTTATTGATCTATTTTTTAAGTTTTGTTTGTAAATAATTATACTCTTTCAAAAACATATATATTTTTTCTTTTAATATTAATTTAGTTAAAAATTAAGTAACGTTTACAAAAAAATTTGTTAAAGTTGTACATTTTGTTTTTACACTAAATATCATAAAAATTTTAGTCAACAAAACATGCAAAATTTTAGAATGATTCAAGAGCTGCTGTGACAGTGTTTATGATTCTCCATGTCAAAATAATATATTTTAAATAAAATTTTTTGAATAATAAATTTTCATAATCACCGGTTATTGCAGGTATTCATAGGTTTATTAAGTACTTGCAATAAGAAAGAACTTTAATGACCTTTAAAAAACGTAATAAACTTATTATGAAAGAATTGTTCTTTATCAATGTGTCCTTATCTATTCAAGAAAATATTATTGTTTTTAATAAAAAGAATCATACTTAAGAAAAAACTAACTATTAAAACTTAACTATTTTACTAACTAAAACTTAACTATTTTACCTTCATTATCTTGTAGAGGTAAAGTTATTTTTTAATGTTTTTAACTGCAAGAATTATGTATTAAAAACATTTTAAATTTAGTTGTTATTTTATTTCTTTAGTTCTACTTTAGTGCTCTACAGACTATTTGTTTACTTTGTCTACTGTTAAAATATGGTTTTAACTTAGTAAGCTTGAATTATTTTAACTTTACTATGTTGATCATTTGTTGTTTTTTTTGCAAACAAGGTAAGAATAGTTTTAATTTCTGGTTGAATAACATTTTTTTGTTTTTTTAGTTATAAGAAATTTTTTCTGTTACACATAAAGTATTTTTTCTTACAGGTTTTGATTGTTTAATCAGCAACAGGTTAATTGGTTTGCAGTGCAATTTTGCCTTCTTTGCTTTTTTCATGTCATTATTTAATTTTGTGTCAATTTAGACATCTTACAGTTTTTTTTAAGCATTTTGCAGAACGAATAGAGGGCCCACATCTCCCAAGGTGTGGGTTCAAGTTTAGGGCTGAAGCACCCCCCACCTCTTTATATATATGTACGTATGTTGAGGAGGAGAGGGAGTAGTAGATAAAAAAAACGCTGCGTCTATAATTAGTATTTATGTTATAGTATTCTACCAATTAAACCAAATATTGGTTAATCTACCAATCCTTTATTGTTAATGCAAATTTTGTCAAATTTTTTTTTGTAAACATACTTTTTTTATATATATTTTTATTGTTGTTATATATTAATAAATTGATTTCCAGTTAATAATTAATACAATACAGATTATATTTTATTCCTTTAAAACATGCCAAAAGCGGTTGAAGGGCTTTGTGTGGGTTTAAATCCTTTTGTTTACACTTTCGTTGTGTTGTTTTGTGTTGATAGATAAGATGATTTGTGTTGATAGATAAAATGATTATTGGGTAGGATATGTATTGGATTATTGGGTTAGATTTTTTTATTTTGATCATTTATCTTTAGCCTTGCTTTTTTAGAATGAGTTGTTAATCCAAACTTGCAACAGTAAACTTGTAACTTTCACAAAAGAAAAACAACCTCACTAAGTAAGTTTCTTATTAGTTATCTGTTTAGTCACATTTTAGAGTTGTCAAATAAATAAAGTACATAACAAATTGATGTGTATAAAGTGTATTCAATAATAATTATGTTCCATTTTTAGGTCAAATTCCTTCCCTTACGACTGATTTTGAATGTTCCTTAACAGTAGAATTTAAGAAATATTCTGAATGTTGATTGTGTTCAAAAAGCTAAAATGAAGCTTGATAATCTCTGTATCATATACTAAAAGATATGTAATAATGAAAGAATTTTTCAAATTAAAATGTATTTATTATAATTAAAAGTAATTTTGAATACAAATTTTTTTTGTAGTTTTTTTAAAATTTATTTTTCTTATTTTATCTCAAGAAAACTTCTTAGTTTGTTTCTCAAATAAGTTTCTATATTTTTTATCTTTATAATTTTGGAGTTTTGAATAGATATACTTGCTTTGTTTTTTTATATTTCCGTTAACTTTTTATATGTAAATGGAAACCACTTATACTTTTATCATCCTGTGTACTATCAGGACGGTTTTCATTTGCATTAAGTCTCGATTGCACAAACAATAAGTTTAAAAATTTATTTGCCTAATTCCGCAGTGAAAACAGCTTAATTGTATGAATTTGTTAAGTGTTTTTTTTACAGAAAGGCTTTTATAAAAAATATCAAGCAGATAAAGCTAACTTAATTGAAATATTTACGCTTCTTTTGGCTTGGCCATTTTTCAATGTCCAAATTTCCTTTTTAAACAAATCCTTATAAGAGAGTTAAAATAATATCAAAGCATAAGTTTCCAAAAACACCTGAAGAATTGATAGACAACTGTCTTATATGCTAAAGATACTTTTACTTTTTTATTATGTAGAAAATATTAATGTAATAATTAAAAATACTAAATATTTGTTAAGTATGATAAATTAAAAATTAACCAGAAGACAAGAACTTCTGTAGTCAGTAAAATGCTAACTGCGTACTTTTTAGCGAGCCAAGACATTTTAATGAGCACAACAGTCATAATATTTAAAACATTTGTTCATCAACCCGTATCATTCGGGTCATGACAGCTAGAAATGTTACGCAACTTTCTTATATGCTAAAGATAGTTTTATTATGAAGAAAAGTAAATAAGTAAATATATAATAAGTAAAAATACTTATTAGTTTTAAAGTATAGTAAGTTAAAAATTAACCAGAAGGCAAGAACGTTAGATAATCAGAAAAATGCAAACTGCTTATTTTTTAGCGAACCAAGACATTTTAATGACCACCACAATCATGATATTTAAATCAAATGCTCATCAATTTTTTAAATTAGATATAATGGTATTCGATATATTTTATTTAGATTAGACTATTATTTTATTTAAATTTTCTTTTAATTATAATTTAACAAGCAATAGATTTAACGGTTTGGAATAACAGTTTGCATTTTACCAACTACCAGAACTTTAAACTGATTTATTTTTTGCCGTTTACTAAAATAAATTAAAGTATAAAGACTAAGGAACAAGTTTAGAAATTGTCGGGTGTGAATGAGATTTGCCACGACCCGTATCGTACGGGTCATACCAGCTAGTATCTTATTAATATTGTAATACTAATTTTTACTACCTTAGATTTTGTAAAAAGAAAAGAAGATATTGGTAAAGGATTTCTTTACATATACATTGCTTTTTTTTTAATAGACCTGTGAAATGTATTTTTATAAAAAAAATTTCAGGGAGAAAAGAGGAGGACTTACAAACAAAAGGTATGTAAATAAAATTTATGAAACTAAAATTTTAGATCAGACTGGTGCAAGTTGTGCTGTTAATTTGATTATATTATATGAGAGTTGTTATATTTTGGGAAAGTGTATAAATAAAAACTTTATTAACATGTTTGAGTTTGGTAAAAAAAATTGCAGAACTCATGTCTATGTTTATATAACCACTCTGTGTTGAACTTTTTTTTTTTTTGTTAATCTGATGCCGATCTCTAACAGATTAAGGTTACATACATATATATTGTTTTAATATAAAGTAAGTTTTGAATCAACACAAAAATTTTATATTGCTTTTTTCTTTTTGCTTTTAATATTTGGGTATATTAAAAAAAGAAGTTGGTAATGAAAATAAATATTTACTTTTTTTACAATAATAATTTTATCTATTACATATTTGACTTATTGTTTTAAAATCTGTTTAATTATATATTTGTTTTTAGAAAACAAAGAACTGAAACTCGGTAAAAATTAAATATTTTAATAATAGTGTTTAAGTAATAGTTTTAGTAATGTTATTTTTGCAAATATGTCTTGAATAAAGTTTCAATTAGTTATATATATATATATATATATATATATATATATATATATATATATATATATATATATATATATATATATATATATATATATATATATATATATATATATATATATATATATATATATATATATATGTATATATGTATATATGTATATATGTATATATACATATATACATATATACATATATATATGTATATATATATATATACATATATATATGTATATATGTATATATATATATATATATATATATATATATATATATATATATATATATATATATATATGTATATATATATATATATATACATACACATATATATATATATATATATATATATATATATATATATATATATATGTGTATGTATATATATATATATATATATATATGTATATGTATATATATATATATACATATATATATATATATATATATATATATATATATATATATATATATATATATATATATATATATATATATATATATATATATATGTATATATATATATATATATACATATACATATATATATATATATATATACATACACATATATATATATATATATATATATATATATATATATATATATATATATATATATATATATATATATATATATATATATATATATATATATATATATATATATATATATATATATATATATATATATATATGTATATATATGTATATATTAGGGATATGACTTTTTAAAAAAAAATTTCGCTGGCCCAAAAATGGATGAGTTTTTACGCATAAAATGCAAAAATATTAATACTTTCACGATGTTCAAAAAAAATGTCACGCCCCAAAGCACATTAAGATTTAAAAAAGTTTTATAAAAATTAATGACCAAAATCATTTCTATTTGCAAACATGTTCATTCATATGATTCTATAAAAAAACATAATTTATTCTAACAATTAATACATGGCATAGTGTTATATTCAATGCAGGAAAAAACATTTTATACAATTTAAATACATACAGTTATTGTTTATTAGACAAAATGAAACGCATTTCTGCACAATCTATAAAGCTCCTCCATTACTTTAATTGCTCTTTCAGCACATTGATTACTTCTGGGAATGTTGATTGCTGATGGTTCTGGATTCCAATGACTTGTAAATGTAGCAAGAGGTTTCTTTTTGTTTAATAAAACTTCATGAAGGTCTGAATAAGTGTTTTCTTTATAGGTTTGGTCGTCAAACCAAAAGTCTGCCCACTTGTAAGAAATAAAGGTACATACAGATTCAAGTTTGTTTCTTGTTTTTGGCATAAGAATGTAGGCTAACAACGCTAAAATAGCTCTTGAACTCCACCGAGCATTACTGATATTAGGGATTTTTTGAAATCTTACATTAGGAAATATTTTATTTTGGTCATAGTATCGGTAGGTTCTCGTCAGATAAAACAGAAACTTCATGTCATCTCGCCATCCTCCTGTGTCTTTTATTTCTTCTGTACCATTATAAAAATATGTCTTCAGTGTTTCATAATGTTCTAACAACTCGTTAGTAAAAAAGTAATTAATGTTTGGTGAGTTCGGATTTTCTCCCAATTTTTTTTCCATTTCTAGTCTAAGTATTCTATCCAAGATATGATGTTGACATGGTACAAATTGAGGTTTTTGTAATCCTTTTTTTTGAAAAATGTCCTGAAGTTTTACAACAACACCATTTTTCTTTCCGGTATTGACATTTGTAGTATCTGTCACAATCATTTTAATTGAATTCCATAGTTTAAATTCATCTATAATATTAGCTATGGCATTAATAATAGTGATAGATTTTCCATCTATTAACTTCAGTGCGCCCAACTTTATTTTGCTTCTTTCATTTTTAAGAACGACAACCTGATACTCCCATTGGTCTATATGCTTTCCATCGAAGTGTAGACTCCAATTCTCATTCTTTAAATCTTGAATTAAAGTTTCTTTAAATTGTTTTGCTTCATTAAAAAGAGCCTTGTATATTCCAGACTGTGATGGCACTGGAACATGTATGCCTTCTGAGGACAGTATTTTACCTATTTTAGAAGCTTTCTTAGTTGATACCTTAGCACAAACCACTAACTTTGTTGCTATTTTACAAATACTATATTTTTTACGTCTTTTCTTCAAATTATTATATTCTTCATCTGTAATTTCATTATCTATCTCAAATTGTTCATCAGTTTCTTCAAATTCGGAATTAGAGTTGTCTCTTTCTATTTTACTACTTTCAGTAAATGAAGAAAAACTTTTAGATGCTGAAGGTTGGCTGGAAAATTTTTGCACAATTGATGGATGAATAGTCTTCTTTCCTGCCAGCTTTGAAGTAGCATATCCAATTTCTCCTTTGCTTTGTAACTGAATTTCATAAAATCTTTTATCTTCAGATGATAACCAAATGCCATTTTGATTTGTTATATCAAAAATCTCTTTTTTTATTTTTAAAATTTTTTTTATATATTTTAAAAAGGTCGGCATTCCCTTTTTTTCTGAGACTTTCATATTTTTCTATAACATCATTAATCTTTCGCCTCACTGACTGCTCTGTCAGACATGGGAAGTTTAATTGTTCTTTCCACAAACTTATAACTTCTTCTGAAATAAGATCTATCCTTTGCTTTTTGGCTTTCACATCAGTACTAGACAAATACTTAAACCTGCTAACGATATCACTTTTTAATAACATTTTGGAATATTCTTGAAAAGATGTTTCTAACATTGGAAACTGTCTACTTTTATGCGAATCTTGAAATTTCACAAGATTTTTTTAAGTCTCTTTATTTTTTTCAACACTTGATTGGCTGTATTTGTATGCCATTTTAATTAAAAGCAGCACAAAAAAATCTGAAACTAATTAATAAACAATTAGGCACGGCAGTGAAAAACTAGAAATTATAAAGTGGTAATGCATACGTCTGGTATGTATTTAAAATTATATATATAATATATATTAACCGTCTATATATATTTTATTATATATAATATAATAGTATAA